TGCTGTCTGTCGATGCGAGCTCTATCAGCTACAGCATCGCTCGCGATCGGCGGCCTTCTCCAACACGGTGTAATACCTTGTCAAAGTCACACCTCTATGTAACGCTAATGTCACGAGGGCGAGACCACAATTTTGTACAATTACATCGTCTTGCAAAGATGCAGCAGTGGTTTTGACTTTGGGGGACGCAAACCCAATGCGATAGTTGGCAATAGAGAACGGCATCACAACTGATCTATCAAGTGCTGCAGAAATATTATTATTAATTCGCTCCAGGCGACGTTTGCACAACGCAGCAGTCGTTCACCGTCGGGCACCCGGTGGTGCCGTTGGAAACATCTAGTGGGCTCTAGCCGCCTCTCAAACATGTATGGTCGCACAATTGCGACCCGTTTGGGCCAAATCGACAACGAGTTGGTGAGCCAGGTGAGTCTCATGGGCGGCTACACAGTGGTCGAATGTACTTCGCGCTGCCGACGAGCGCGGCACCGACTGACGCACCCTTGTCATCCTCCGCGACATCGTTCCACGCTGCCGCCACGCAGTCGACCTTGACCTTGTCTCTCGTGATTGCGTGCGTCATTTTGGCGCTGCGCTACTGGCACGTGTACCGACTCAAGAGAGAAATTGAAGCGCTAGCCTACGCGGCGACTGAGACCGTGGCAGTCTCGCCTTTGGAGGCCAAGCAACAGCACCACGGGTGGCAGCGTAATCTTATACCACAATCGACTTCTTCTCCAATGGCCAAACGCGTAAGTGCATTGATTTCTTGTATATGGACCAAGCAGCTCTCAGGTGGTCAGGTGGCGTGTTGCGAGGGCAAACACATTCGCACGAGGGAGCGCTTCGGCGCAGAGCCCACGCGGCGATCTCACTACCATGCTCGCTAGCCACATCTCTACGCAATGAAGCCTCCGCCCTTGTACATACGTCGTCTCTGTCCGTCGCGCAGCGTCTGCGTTCGGCGTTCGGAAGAGTGCCGGGACGATAGAAACAAGCCCAGAGACGGTCTCGCAAACAGAGCTCGTCAGTGGCTCTTGGTGGCCCTCGCAGCGCACACGCAGGCCATTCTCTAGTACGTAGTCGATTCACTGCGCGAGCAGCACGCTCGACCACGAGCCAGAGCCTCGTTGCGCTGAAGCGCCCGCATCTTGCATCACCCATGGCATCCCCAAAGCTTGAACCAAATCGGATGAGTCCCAACGCAAGTTGAAGTTGACGCGTGTCACGCAACCGTACTCAATCTGCTATTTTTGAGGTTCGCGTGACATGCAAAAAGGATGCGATTTGCGATCTTCCCTGCCAGCTGCGACCGTTCGCAGTCGCGAGTCGCGACCCCATTCCGCAACTTTCTCTCGGCCACCAACATGTCGTCGTCGCTCATCACTGCGTACAAGGGCGTCGTCGTCCACTCGGTGCGCTTTGGCGTCCTCGAAGTCCTCGACGCCGGCCTCATTGGCACGAACGCCCAAGGCAAGATTCTGTTTGTGCACGACTTGGCCAAGACGCCGATCGAGTCGATTGCCTTTGACACGCTCGTCGACCATGGCAAGAAGCTGCTCCTTCCCGGCTTTGTCGACGGCCACGCGCACGCGCCGCAGTACTCGTTTCTTGGTGTCGGCATGCACCTTCCGCTCCTCGACTGGCTCAACACGTACACGTTCCCGCACGAAGCCAAGTTTGCCGACCTCACGTACGGCACGATGCGCTTGTGTTTACAATGCTTAGATGTCACCTTAGGTATGCGAAGAGCATGTACACCAAGGCCGTGACGCGTCACGTGCGCAACGGCACGACGACGTGCTCATACTTTGCGACTGTCCACCTTGAAGCGTCCAAGGCCCTCGCCGACATTGTCGCGCGTATCGGCCAGCGCGGGTACATTGGCAAGGTCAACATGGACCGCCACGCGCCGCCATCGCTCGCCGAGACGACGTCGCAGTCGCTGGCCGACACAAAGGCGTTCATCGAGCACGTTCTTGCCAAGGAGGACGACCTCGTGACGCCCGTCATCACGCCGCGCTTTGTGCCGAGGTAACTTGCAGGATTCTCTTCTCGCCACTCGACACTCATTTGCGCTATATAGCACGACATCGGAGCTCATGCACGGACTCGCTGCGCTCTCCAAGGAGCAGACTCCGCATTTGCCGGTGCAGTCGCATCTCTCGGAGAACGGCAACGAAATCGCGTGGGTCAAGGACCTCCACCCCGACTGCGACAGCTACGCCGACGTGTATCACCGCCACGGGCTTCTGCACGACCGGAGCTACATGGCGCACTGCATCTGGTGCAGCGGCGGCGAGCGCGCGCTTCTCAAGGAGACGGGCACTGGCATTGTGCACTGCCCCAACTCGAACTTTTCGCTCACGAGCGGCGTCCTCAACGTCCGTCGGTGCCTCCGCGACGGGCTCAAGGTCGGTCTTGGCACGGACGTCTCGGCCGGCTACACGACGTCGATGCTCGACGCAGTCCGGAACGCCGTCATCGCCTCCAAGCTCGTGGCCATGGGCCATGGCAGCGACAACGACGGCGAAGCTGCGACGAAAGAAGACCCGCTCACGTACGCCGAAGCCTTCCACCTCGCGACGGTCGGTGGCGCCGAAGTGCTCAACCTCGAAGACAAGGTTGGCAACTTTGTGCCGGGCAAAGACCTCGACATGCTCGTCGTGGATCTGAATGCTGCCGACAGCCCCGTGGACGAGTACGACACCGACGACACGCTGCATCGGTTCCAGAAATTTCTGTTTGTCGGCGACGACCGCAACATCACCAACGTCTACGTGCGCGGTCGCCAGATCCACACGCGGTGATCGCCACCTATTTAGTCGCTGCAATGTACGACGTAGTCGATCGTTTGTATGATGCAATCAACACGAAAGGCATTGTCAGCTGACTCGTTGTTTCCTTTAGTTAGTACACGATTCTGGTTGATCCGGGGTCTGGACGTGAAGATTCTAGTGTCGTTCTGGGACGACGACGTAGCATGCGCAGAAACAGCCCCTTTGTTAGTCATGTTGAACGGGATGGGCACAGCTTGGCTTGGCAAGATGACTGCAAGTGCTCCCGTGCGATCACAATGACGTGGCAGCACATTGTGCCACGTTGCACGCCTCCATCAACAATTTGGCGAAAAGAAGGAAATGGAACAAAGGGGCGAGGTTGATTGATGATTACCACCTAAAATTGGTTGTGGCGACTAGTGCTACACGATACACAGGCGCGGTCGTCGCTGTGTGGCTAGAATTTTTAAATATTTTGGTCTTGTGGTGGCTCCTCGCAGAAGAGTGCGCAGAGATTTGCGTCTAGTATGACGCGCGCGGCTGGCAAATCTGCCGGCTAAAGCGCGGGCTCTTGCCGTGGTGTGTGAGCTTGTATTGCATCGACTTGTTGGCCTTCTGCGTCTGGTACAACGCGTTGTCTGTCTTGGTCGTGCGCTTGAGAATGTTTTGCACCATCGGCTCGATGCTGCGGCGGTTCTCCTGGAGCGACACGCACTTGTCATAGAGCTTGCGGTGGAGCTCCTCTTGCATGTCGAGGATCTCGAGCTCAGCGAGGAGCTCGTTCATCTGGTCGCACGCCTCGAGTTCGCGCAGGTCCGTGGTCGTGAACGGGTAGAACGCTGGGTCAAAGAGCTCTTCGTCCGGCACTTCGCGGTAGTCGACGACTTGGTCGAGGATGACAAAGCCGTCCGTCGACTGCTTTTCGCTGCCTGGTGTGTATGGCAGGCCCGCCGTCCAGATGAGGTCGTCGGTCAGCGGTGTCTTCCAGCCGAGCGCGGGCACGTAGGGTGGCGCGTCGACGTTGAGCGTGGTCATCTTGGTCTTGTTCGTGGGCGCCGACGCACCCTTCTTGGTCGGGCTACGGGGCGCGGGCGTCGGCTGCGTCTTCTTGGCCATGCTTGGGATCTTCTTGTGGAGCAATTTGCGTAATGAGCTCCAAGCTGCAAATAGCTTCCTCCGCAACTTCAACCATATCGCACCGGCCGATTCCGCCAATCACAAGCGTCGAAGTTTACATTCTGCCAATCAGACGACGCCGAATAGATACTGGCAAACCAATCACGACGCTGCGTTTCTACCCATCTGGTACCCGTCCTCGAACGTTCTCGCCATCTTGGTCAGCAGCAACAACCGTGCTGCGCCGTCGACAAGCCGCAACATCGACTACCTGCTTGTAGAGGCCGCGCTCAAGCCGCTAGGTCTTCCTTATTCAGTGCTTTTCATGTGAAGCAGCAGCGATGGGTGCAGGCGACATAGATAGAGCTAGCGCGTGTTCTCTCTTTCTCAGAACCCGCTTTTACAGCGAGGCCACCTGCAGAAGACGTCGAAGCGGCTGCTTGGAGGAGTGTTCGCGCATGGAATGTATCAAGGATCAATCTCGACAGCAGCTGCTCGTGCAGTTAGTCAAAGCCAGCGTTCTAGTCGATGTGGCCGCAATTGCAAGACGAGTAGCTTGCGTGTCGCGGGCCCATGACGTGGCACGCGCATTTTGTTCCGCTGGCTTTCTTTGTTAAATCCATACAAAGTGCAAATGAACATAAAACGTGCGCGAAATAATCAGCTTTCGTCGAATAGACCGGGCTCCGTTATCCGGATATATTCGGCTTGTTCTTGGAAAACGGCGCTTGGTATCCGGATATTGAGCCACCGAGACGAGCGTCAATCCTTCTTCGAGGCAAGCCGACGCATGAAGCTCAACCCGAACGCGATCTCCTTTGTACCGACATGGTCGTCTGCGCCGCCCGCGCCGCCGCCGCCGCCTCCGCCCATGCCCGCCGATCCGCAGTACACGAATGAGTGGGACACTGCCAACGGCGGCGGCTGGGCTGACGACGACGGCGCAGCCTTTGGCGACGACGCCGAGATTGACGAGCTCCTCGCCGAGATTGAGCGCGTCCAAATGGAAGAAGAGCTGAGTCGCGAATACAATGAGCTCAAGGCGCAGGGCAAGACGGAAGAAGCCGAGCTCTGGAGCCGCTGGATGGTCTCGCCGCCGTCGCCGCTCTCGCCGCCTGCGCCGCGCCACCACAAAAAGCACACGCACCACCAACCCACCCAGTACGGCAAACAGCCGTACCACAACAGCTACAAGAGCCGCAGCGGCCCGCTGTACAATCCGCGCGGCACCTACGCACCGCACAATCCGGTCACGGCCTCGGTGCCCTTCCAATAGGTCAACGCACCGCGTGTAGATTCCCAACCTTTCCCCGTATAGTAATTAGTACCTTACCCTCACCCTGCTTCTGGTTGTGGCTTTACACCGCAACTTCATCGTCATCAACAAGCAGCTCGTACGGGACATGGTGGTGGGGGTGCTTGGCACGCTTGCCGAGGTGGCGGCTCTGTTTGGGCGACGGGTTCGGCGCTTCGCAGGACAGTGCTGGCATCGGCTGCCGGCTCTTGTGCGCGTGGTGTCGCTTGTGGTGCATCGGGAGCTGCGTCAGGAAGATGCTACTCGTCTCGCCATGACCCAAGGATAATGACTCGTGCGGGGACGGCTCGGGCTCCTTCCTCGGCTCGCTTCGTTTGGGGCTCACGCTCTTGTTGCGCTGCTTGCGCTCAAAGGCTTGGCGCGCCCGCTGAATCTCAAGCATGCGGCGCTCCATGGTCTGGAGCATCTGCATCTTCTTCTTCGTGTCCGAGACGGCGCGGAGGCTCACATTGCCCATTTTGGACATGTCGGCCACGCGGCGATCGGCCATGATCTTGTGCACGGCAGCGCGAAAGTGGTGGCGGAGGATGACCTTGCGGGTGCGCGCCGTCGAGGCGGCGTTGCGCGCGTGCACGTACGCGCGGTGCCACAGCACCGTGATCTTGAGGCGCTTCGCCTCGAGAAGCGCGTCGTTACGCTCATGCCACGTCTCGACGAGCTGCACCAAGCATGTGCGCTGGAGGTACGCACGCCAATGCGCCGTCATTCGCGCCTAGGAGGCGTCCACTACGCGCCATATATGATGCGGGACCGAAGGCTACCTCGTGCTGCCGGCGGCGGCGGGCGGCGACGAGACGCCGCGCCACGAGAAAGCCGCGCACTAGCCGCTGGATGCGCACGATGGCGATCGACTGGCGAAGCCGCTCGACACGCACCCGCGCGCGGTGGCCTCGGTATATGCGCTGGATAAGCGTCGAGTGCCGGTTCAAGTACGCAGCGATGCGCTCGCGCTTCTCGTCGCGATTGAACTCGACAAATGTGAGCGCGCGCTGCACCTCGGCCATCTAGTCCGATGATAATGGACAAGTTGTCTATACGACACAGTGTACATCTTGATCAAACACATCCTGGACGCTGCGAATGTGCTGGAAGCGCTCGTGCAAGAGCAGCTACGTTGGACGTTGCAGGAGCCATGGCGCCTATACACTATGCGTACGTGGGTATATCGCAGCCGCTCGAGCTTGGCGTGGACGGCGTCGGCGCCAAACGCGCGGTCGTCGACGCCGAGGCGCGGGCTGAGCGGCGAGAGCTCCGGGTACGTGAAGGTCGGCGTCATGGGCGGGCGCGGGCTGCTCGCGCGCGGCGACGGGTGCGAGTACCACGACGGAATCACAAGCGACGGCGACGAACTGCGCGGGCTCAAGAGAAGCGGCGCAAGCGCCTCCGGCTTGCGAGGCACGATCGCCATCCTCCTTTTCAACACGAGCAGCAGGTGTAACGACCGTCGATTCAGCGTGTTCACGTCACAAGGTACCTTTTTGGTCATGCGAGCGTTGTCCCCCTATGCGTCATGCGCGGTGGAATCCAAAATCCAAGTACGGAAGATGAATAAATCGACTGCCCGAGCTTACTCGATCCATTTTCAAACCCTCCACATCTCAAAATTAGCTGGCACGAAAAGAGGTCATGGAATCTAGTAGGGTTTACGACCAGCAGGCAGGTGCTGGATGGCGATGCTACGGCACAGTGCTTGCCGACGGCGTGTCACGAGGGTTTGGATCTGCTCTAAGGGTCGCCTCCAATGTGGACTGCAGATCACCAAATGGCGGATTGCTCGCCGCTGCATCGCCTTGTGTTTGTGGCAACGTAAGTTCGTCGCTTGGTGGGTTCGGAGGAAGTCTGCCGATGCTTGCCAGTCGTGTTTCGCCAGAGTCCAAACCGATCGGCAGCGAGTACGACCGCGCAGGCGAGCTGGGTCGGGACTTAGTCTTGGCCGCAAGACGCTGCCACGTGTAGGCCGCCTGGTCTTGGTCGATCTCCGAGTCGACGGCATAGAGCAGGTCAGGCTTCCCGGTAAAGGTTACGTGCACAAGGAAGACGCCGCCTGGGTTCTTGGCCGTTGCATCCGTCGTCGTCGTCGTCGTCTTCTTGGCGCGCGTATGCTTCTCGAGCCGAGTGCGCAGTCGCGTCAAGTTGTTGTAGCCAGCAGGCAGAGCATCCGTGTACGGCGTCACAGCAAGGAGAGAGTGAAGCTCCGTGGATCGTGTCCCGATCCCTTGGAATCGCGGCTTGGACGGTTTGCCAAAGAAGGACCACTTGAGCCTACTTTGGCTCAACGTCTCATCGAGAAAGAGCCATTTCGTGCCGAGTTTGCCCTTTGTGGAAACAACCAGCAGCGGCAGTCCTTCCATCATCTCGGTCGTCTACAAGCAGATCATCGCGAGATGTGGAGACACGGGTGGATACCAGCTCCACGTGACGGCTCTTGCGCACTTCGTCGGGCTGCAGGAATGTCATGAGCACGTCGGAGGTGGCGCGGCTCTTGCGGTCTTCGCACTTTTGTTCCAAGCGCGTCTTTCGCGTCAAGTCGCGTGCCGACTTGGCTTGACCGCGGACTAGCGCATTCGGCGACGACTGCCGCATTTCTTCAAGTGACGTTAAACTACGATGTGTATATATAGTACTGAGTCTATTCTCCATGGCAAGTAACCAACATGGATATAGCGTTGGCGCGAAATAACATGCGTCACGACAACGCTCTTCCACCGACCTTTGAACTCTTCTCCACATCACAAGTGACGAAGCGAGAGAGCACCAGGAGAAAGCGTAGCGACACAAACGATACTCGATTCTACGTTTACGGTTCTGCTGCATCTCTTGAGGCGACCGCATCAGGAAGAGTCTCGGTGGGAACCAGTGCAATCTCAGGGGCGTCCAAGACGCCGCTGGCTTGCCGGACTTCGGCGGCGATGGACAATCGTTTGGTGCTCTCGGCTGAGACGAGCGACCACGAGTTCAAGCGCGCGGGGGCGTTGGCGCGTGCTTTAGCTTTCTCGCTGAGGCGCTGCCACGTGTACACAGCTTGCTCTTGATCGATGGCCGACTCGACCGCGTACAGAATATCGGGTTTGTTGTCGAACTCGACGAGCACCACGTAAATGCTGCACCGACTTGCGTCATCTGTCTGCGTGCGCTCGGGTATCGGAGCCCCCTCGTCGTCCGGGGACGCTACGACAGTCGGTGTCGCGGTTGCTTTTGCACTGATTCGTTTGCTAATTTGAGCGTGCAGCCGCGAGAGGTCAGTGCTGTACGTGGGAGGTAGAGCATCTGTGAACGGCGTCACGGCACGCAGCGAGGCAAGCTCGACCGACCGCTTTCCGCTGCCCTTGAATTTTGGCTTGGACGGTTTGCCCAATACCGACGCCTTGAGCTTGAAACGTGTCAGAGAAATGTTCATAAAGAGCCACCGCGTAGAGAGTGCCGCCGATTTTGAAACGACCGAGACAAGCACGCCTTCCGTCATTTCGCTCGTCTAGCGCGAAAAGTGAGCCGGCGAACGACAGACGCAAACCGTACGAGGACCAAGTGGCGGCCCTGGAGCACCTCGTCGGGCTGCATGTGCGTCATGTGCACATCCAGCGCCGCGCGGCCCTTGCGCTCCTCGGCTTTGAGCTCAATGCGCGCCTTTCTGCTCATGTCCAAGAGCGACTTGGCCTACGTCATCGATAGCAATAGAACCCCGTGGCTTGCAGTGAAGAGGTCGTCGTACGACGGCGTGGGTCTCGGGGTGATAATACTCGTCGTTGAGGACCTTGACTTGCATCGTGTGCTCGAGCGTGCCGGGCTTGGCGGTCACCTTCATCTTCTTCTCCTTTGCGACGGTGGAGGCAAACTTGCGCCAGCGCGGCTGCTTGAGTTTCTTCTTGTGACTCGCCTCGTCGTCCGAGGACGCGTCGTCGTCGTCACCTGTCGTGTGCGCCGATGCCTTGCGCGCTTGCACCCACACAAAGAGGAAAAGGAGCGTCTTGAGCAGCACCAAAGCGCCAAACACGGCGCCCAGAATGATCAGCGCGAGGTTCGGGGACGGCGCGGCGTCCGGTGGCCGCACGATCGTGGCGTTGACCGCGGTCGAGTTGCCGCCCGCGATCGATGACGTGACGAGTGCTGCCGAGGTACTCGAGAAGAAGCTCGCGGCGCCAAAGCACGAGGACGGACACGCACGCTTGGATCGCGTCGCGTCATCTTCGTGCAGCACGAGGAGCGACACTTGGTACTCGATGGACGTGGCATTCCGCGGCAAGGCGGCGGCTACGTAAAAGTACTGCGAGGCACTCCAGGGTAAAAACGAAGTGTTAACATAGGCGCTCGTGGTCTCGACGCCATCTTGGAGCGTGTGCAGGCGAAACGCAACCGTGCAATCGGTCGCATTGTCTGGCAGCGCGCAGGAGGTCGGCGGGACGCTATCAACGCGCCACGCGACCATGGCGCAAGCGTTGGGGCTTGGACACAAAGAGACATCGATCGATGCAATCTCAAACGACGCCCCAAGTCGCATGAGATGACGGCGTGCTTCACGGACGACGTACATGCCACAGCGTGTGTCGGATCTTGTGGCGACGCTTCGCTCGATAGTATGCACCAATCAGAGGCCTGGAAAACGTATCTTGGGTGCGGATCGTATGGCGACAGTGGATTTCGATCGCGTTGTTGACTCGACGCGATTGGGACGTGCAAAGCTTCGCATTCGGGTGTTTCAAACTCTTCGTGTATATCGTATGCCACCTCGTGAGCGCAGCTGACGTCATCGAAGCAACCCGTACTAGGCTAGTGCACAAGATTGTCAGGTTGGGAAATCCACCACCAAAATGCCCAGCACAACTGACGACAGAACTGCACAGGCTAAGGAAAACACAGACTCATCACACGTCTCGGGTTGGTTGCTCCGATGTACTCGATTGGTCATCGGTTCAACAGACTCACTCAGTTTCCGCAAACAGCGACTTGCAGCTCTTCTTTGGGATTTGTTGACTAACAACAGAGCTCGCTTTCACAGTTCGAGTGAGTTCGCTCTAGAACCGGTACAACTCGGCTCCCCGACCTGGGGTGCGATGTACACAGAGCCTCCGCCGGCAGTGCGCCTCCATTCTCAATTCTCAGGCGTAGACAGTCTAGCGTGGAGCAGCAAGATATGTGCTGACGCGTGCGTCGTCATTCATACGTCGCCATTCATCCGGCACCGTCGTTCCGGCAAGCCTGCCACGCACCCGACGCTGTCGAGCGACAAAAGATACGCGCGCGGCCCTCCCTGCGCAATTCCATTTTATTACATACAAAATCATTGTCATATTTGTGATTGCTTAAAAAATAACGCTAAGATGTGACTTTGCACTTTCTGAGCGGCGCAAAATAATGGCTGTCCGCGATGCGTTCCGAGCGATCCTCCAGCAGCAGTCGGCGCTGTTGCAGACGCTCTCGAACGACGTGTACATATTTCGCTGCCCCATTCTCATGGGCACGACGGGCGGGCACGTCCGCCACTCGCTCGACCACCTGCGCCGGTCGCTCGACGCCGACCACGCTGGCCACATCCACTACGACATTCGCGCCCGCAACACGGCAATCGAGCTGGACCGCGTCGCGGCCATTGATGAAATGGACCACATCTTGTCGCTAGCCGCGGCGATCGCGCCCTCGCACTTGACGTCGCCTGTCCGCGCCGCCTTTATGCTCACGGCCGACGGCAACGAGGTGCAGCTCGCCTCGACCGTCGAGCGCGAGATGGCGTTCGCCGTGCACCACGCGATCCACCACAACGCGATGATCAAGACGATCTTGCGCGCCAACTTTCCGTCGCTGCCGCTGCCCGACACCTTTGGCGTTGCGCCATCGACACTGAATTTTCGGCAGTCGGAAGCGGCGGCTTCGTAATAATTGAGCTGTGTCGAATGTCCTAACAATGTGGTCGCTTTGTACGAGGGTACATGCGTCAGCACGTGTGTCACGTTGTGCTAGTGTTCCTGTTCTAGCAGCACGGATATCAACCACCGCGACCTCCAACTCGAACGAGCAGTTTGTGTTGGCGCCAGTGCATTCTGGCCAATTGCAGAAGCGTTTTGACGTGGCTTGTTGCGGTGCTGCATCTGCGACATCGTCACTTGCATGGCCGACGGGCAGTGCTCGTCTTCGTCGAGGCCAAATGTGATGCGCGACGTGAACTTGGCACCCGCGTCGGAGCGTGCTCCGGCCGCCTGCCATGGGTTGTCGAGTACGATCAGTACGTGGCGGTAGACGCGACGGATTCGAAACGGACTATCTTTCTATTACAGGAGGCTAACTTAAACGGCACTGAGGATTGCTCAAAGCAACTTGGTTCGCATCGTGTCCCGAAAGTACTTGTTGCCAATGCCGCCAAACCCAAAGGCCGGGACGACACGCGCAACACGGGCACCCGTCGACTTGATGTATTCGCGCGAGATGAATGACATGCGCTGGTTCATCGGGACGCCCTTGTTGTTGTACAAGTCGAGACTGAGGAGGTGGAGCGGCGTTGAGAGAAATTGCACCAGCATCGGGCACGTGAGCTGCGCGAGCGTATTTGACGTCCGCGGCGTCTGGCCGAGCTCCTGGAACTTGGCCGACAGAATCGGCGGCGCAATGAACGACGCGCCAACCGTGAGCGAATCGCGGATCGCAAAGAGCCCCATTGACATGAGCGGGAACTTGGTCGGCGCAATGACGCCAAACATACGCGTGAACTCGCGGTCCTTGATGATGCACGCGCCCATGTTGACGGCTGTCGTGGACAAGAACTTGGGCATGTTGCTGTCGACTTCGACCGTCTCGCAGAGCGAATCGACAGCGTTCGCGCTGAGGTACGTGGCCGTGTAGACACCGTAAATCAAAAGAAACTCCTTTCGGCGAATGAACTGGAGCGGGTTGCGGACAAAGTCCCTGCTGATCTCGACGAGGGCCTTCTTGAGCGGGCGGGCGCCGGCGGCATTCTCAATGACGGCGCGGTCGACCGTCGTGATAAAGGGCGCGACGAAGAAGGACGCAATACCGGCGGCCGCGAGGTCGATCCCGAGCTTGGTGCCGAGCGTCGTCAACGACGACGTCGTCGGTGTGGTTGTGGCAGCGGCGGTCGAGGAGGGCATGTGCTTGGACGCTACGACGCTTATCGGAAACTGACCTTGGTGCGAGGAAGGCCATGACATTGCGCGATGCCATTGGCCGATCGCAACTTCAAAACGCTTGCGGATTGGCTCAAAAACCAAAGGTAATGTGACGCGTCGGCGCAAGCAGGACGTCGAGTGGCATTTTTTTAAAATACTTGGTGTTTGTATGCGATTAATTTCGCGGGTGCTGGGTGATTTGCCTCTTGAAGCAGCCAGGACGGGTGTCACGGCCAAGGTGCAACCACCTGGCCCGTCTACCCGTCGCCAGCACCGACGACGTTGCGTGCGCTTGGCTAGGGCGTAGAAAACCCGAGTCGAAAGGGCCAGATCCAGGACGACGACGTCAACACTCTCTCAGCACTCGCCAGAGATGCGCAATCGGCCTTCGCGCCACATGATCTTTCCCGCCCGCCCCACTTGTTGAGGCAAAGATACCCCGTCGGAACCAAGAGAGCTGCTGTGACAGCGAGCCGCACCTAGCTTACGTCCACAACGCAAGGGCCAATTGACGGCAACGTCCATTGGATGCACATCTGCGATTGGCCAACCGATTGGCGCTGGTGCCGTTCTGGAAGCCTATTGGTCAAAATCCGTCGTGCGATCTTCTGCAGGATCCCAATCTGGTCGACGAGAGGCACGACGCCAGCCGATGGTACGAAGATAGCGAACGCATACCGTACCCTACTACGTTGTGGACGCTGCACAAACGGAATGGCACGTATAGATGGCATGGGATCACTCGGATATTCCGATATTTCTACTCGGCCAAGAAAGGACCATGCTGGTGCTCATTGGGTTCTGTGGTAGAGACATCTCGCTGCTTTCGTTCGAACGCGAGGCTTTCTTGCTGAACGCTAATCTCATTTTTAACTCGACCACAAGCCGCGTGCAAGGTACCGTAGCGAGATTCAAACTCGCACCAGCTCCTCGTGCTGGCATGCCAACACCTAGAGCTCAGGACCAACAACAAAGAGACGTCGTGTTGGTTACGAAGCCTCATCAGAGGCACGCGGTGGCAAAGCGCCGGTCACTGGATTTCTTTGTGTCTGGACGCCGTGTTTTTGTCGACAGGACCACGGGGTAGTCTCGTGGATTGAGTTGCTCGTCCACGCGAGTAGCAAGGGATCACTGGGACATCTTGTGGGAGAAGGAGGTTGATCTTGCGAAGCGCCATTAGCCATTGAAAAGGAGCTCCGTTGACGTTCGTTTTGCGAGTGAAAACGCTATCACGATGTTGCGCGCATGGGGCTGTCCCTCGACGCCTTGATGCAAGGTGTCTGTCTTTGCGTTTCAAGAAGCTGACGATTTTGTGTCGCGCTGTCGACTCTCTGAATCGCACACTCGATCTTGTTTCTGTCCAAACAAGAGAATAGACACGTACAGACGGACGATTCAAAAAGCCGCTCTCTCGTAGTTTTGAACGAAACCAACGCATCGTGGTTGTCAGAACGGCAGACGCCATTTTTGAGAAGGCCCTTTTGTCGTCCTCCCCTAGCATTCCTGCTGCTCCTCACGCCGAAGATATGGGACTCAAGTCCCGTTGAGCTAACTGTGAGTACTTACTTCTCTTTTCTTATTGATCTTTGGTCGTGCTAACTAGTTGCTCTTCGATATGGCCCTGATTTGGTGCAACCGCATGAATCAAAGCCGAAAAACCGTGGCATGAACGCGATCATGCAAGATTCCGACGTCCGCATCCCGGATTGGCCACCATCGTATCTCGGTCGCTGCATTTTAGCCAACCCATCATCTGGATATCCATAAGCGGCTTGTGACTGGACAAAATAGAATGCCCGCTTTTGCGCACGGCGATTGGTCCACCAAAGAGCAATGTGGGCCAACTTGGCACAGCGCGTCGGCACGGCCGTCGCGCTCTTTGGCGCGACGGTCTCGGGCACGTACCTCACTGTCGAGCTCGCCATCTCGCACGCAGAAGAGACGGCCGCTGATGAGCGCAAGCTCTGGGAACGAAACCTGCGCCCGCTTAAGAAGGAAGCCACGGACCGTTTGCCCAGTGTCGCCGATGCCGACGAGAAAGACCGTCTCAACCATGTCATTGCGCACGTCGACGCTGCTGAAAAGCGACTCCAGAAGGCAGAAATGGACGTTATCGACATGAAGATTAGCTGGAGCGATACACAAAACAAAGTCGCGGCCTTCTTCAGCTCGAAATAATGACAATATACACGTTGACGCTCTGGAATGGTTACGTCCTTGTACCATTGATGCTTTTTCATAGACCAAATTTGTATGCAGTACGCTGTGTCATTTCCAAACTAAGATCTGAAGCTCTGAACCGAGTCCTTGTTGTCCTAGGATAGCAATTTTTGAACGAGTGCACTTTCCTTGCACCCACGGTACGAAAGGAACGAGCGCTTCGCCAGAACAATACTCGTAAACCTCTGGCTTAGCTCCTCAAACCTTCGACGATTTCAACGCTCGATGGCGGAAGAAGAGAAGACGTTGTAGCCATCCTCGAAGATTAATGATCATTTTCGATCTTCCACGCTTCCATGGCGACAACAGCGCTCTCGCTGCCGCTCTGCCAAGGCCTCACACCGGACAACCTCGCGTCGGCGGCTTCGTCGTACCCGCGACTCAAGCCCGCGCTGTCTACGGTTCTAGCGCAGCCGCTCGCAACATGGTACACGGACCGGACCGAGTACCTCAAGGTTGCAACGCAGACCATGGATGTGTGCGCGGCAGGCAACGGCCACAGCGCGCAGCTGCCCGTCCTCGTCGTCTACGGCCTCCCGGGCAAAGACTGCTCGGGTGTCTACTCAAACCAGGGCTCCAACACCAACACGGCCGAGTACACTGCGTTCATCACGGCGCTCGCGACCCTCGTGGGCACGCAGCCCGTGCTCTACGTCCTCGAGCCCGACGCCGTGGGTCTCTTGGCCGACGGCGCCAACTCGTGCGCTTGGACGCACGGGTACTTGGCCAATATGGAGATTGCGATGAGTCTTCTCACTGCTGCCAACCCGAACGCGCTCATGTACGTGGATGTCGGCTGGTGGACGTTCAAGAATGCAACGACGATGGCCACCATGCTGCCGATCGTCGACAAGCTCGCGAAAGCCGGGCGCATGCGCGGGATCGCGATCAACACGTCCAACTACCGCGGCAACGCCGAGCTGCTCGAATATTGCATGAATTTTGCCGCGGCGCGCCCGGGTACGCATCCTTTCTGAGATCCAACCGGTTGAATAGTGTTGCTGCTAGGATACACGTGCATTTTCGATACCTCGCGCAACTACCACGGCCCGAGCCCCACAGGCGAGTGGTGCAACGCCAACATGGCCGGCATTGGGTACACGATACTGCTCAAATAGATGGGAATGTGCGAATCTCATGACAGCTGCGCAGGGTGCCACCGACGTCCAGCACGGGATCGCCCCACGTCGACTACTACCTCTGGCTCAAGACACCCGGGCAGAGCGACGGTCTCTGCAACACGGGCGTAAGTGCCGACGCGATGCGGGGGCCGGCAGCCGGTGACTTTTTCCAGCGCGGCTTTTCCATGATGTGGGACAACGGGTACTTTGTCGACAAGGGCCTCGGCACCAAGCTCGGCGAGTACGCAATCCCGGGCCAAGTTTCCGACTCGTCCATATCGCCGATCGTGTGGGTCATCATTGCCGCTTCGATTCTCGCTGCCGGCATCGTCCTCGGCGTGGGCATCCTGCTCAAGAAGAAACGTGACGCGCGCAAGCAGAAAGAACGGGCCGGATATCAACTCGAGCGCCGGTCGCCGGCTATTTAAGACGTTGCGTTAGGACAAGCCTGGCCACGCCGGTCGCTCCGTCTCCTCGGACTCTTCGACGAGGTCCGTATTGAATAGCTCGATAAACTATCCCATGAATACGCGTCAAAGTCTACACAGTGGAATACTACTACCTGCTGGTCCATCATGCGCGGCTTGGGGTGCGAAAAGCGAATGTACTCGTCAAACACAGAGCTAAACGCCCAGCGCTGCACCTAAACCCGTCCTCGTTGGCCTCAATGTCCTCTACATCGCGCCGACCTTTCGGAGGCACCCGACAAGGCAGCCCGTTCGATGCTACACAGTCGCCACTAGCTCCTCGTTGAAGTAAAGAGAGGAGGCGTACCTTGCCCTTGTTGCAATGAATGAGCATCGGATGGTTGCGCTTGTCTAGCCATAGCCATCATCGTGGACGAGCGATATGATTAACGTTGTCGTACCCAAGACAGCGCTCAATGCGGCGGCAATGCCCTTTTCTGGGATGTCCACGAACGGCTCCTACACCATACGCGTTGGGTACTTGACGGCGACGGAGGTGATGAGGACCTTGTTGCCGGGCACACCAAACTGAAGCAAGGTCACGCCGTGGATCTTGTTGAATTCGCAGTTGGCGAGTGGGTAGTCTTCGAGCACGAGCGTTCTACGAGGTGCTAAGCACGTACGTCCATGCGCCACAGACGCGTACAAGATGCTCTTGAGCCCGAGCGTCTTGACAAAGGCAAAGTTCTTCTTCTTGGGAAAACCGCCTACGCCGCAAAGGAGCGCATGAGACGCCGCTGCGAGATCGAGGAAGCGTACTGCGGTAGAGACCACGCTCGACCATGGCGAAGTTCTCGGGCGGGATGAGCTCCTCGTATTCGGTATCGACCTCCTCGTCCTTGCGCTGGGCTTCCATCCCTGGTGGCACGACGAAGATATTCACAAGCCGCTGATTGGCGAAAAAGACGGTATTTTAGCCAATCCCATGCGTGTCGTTACCAAGCGCTTGTGAGGTGCATTCTTATTTAAGATGCTGCGGATTGGTGCGTTTCAACACCGCGATCTTGCCCTAGGATAGATAGATAGATGGATAGATGGATAGATAGATAGATAGATAGATAGATAGATAGATAGATAGATAGATAGATAGATAGATAGATAGATAGATAGATAGATAGATAGATAGATAGAGAGATAAGATTGCGGCAACCTGTACGGAGCTCAATGAGCTGCACGAGACACATACACTTGGTCGTGCGACTGCGAAACGAGAAAGAGAGATGCAACAAAATGGTATTCATCGTCTAAACGCTGGGGGCGCCGATGGGCCCGTCGAACGAGTCCTTGCACTTGATGCCGGGCGTACCAGGAATGCGCGGGATGTACCAACAGTGACCCTTGGCGACGCCGCCGCGGGTCGTTGCCGCGAGGTTGAAGCCACCAAAGTTCCACGACTTGTCAAACGACGCAAACTGCACCTTGAGCCAGTCCTTCGAGAAGCTGAGCTCCATAAAGCCGTACGGGTTGCCGCCGGCCACCCAGATCGGGTCGAGAAACTTGTTGCTGCCCTGCGTCGACGACTCGGTGACAATGCCACCACCACCGCCGTTTTCGAAAAAGTGGGTCCCCCACTTGGCGACGTCATGGTTGAAGCCGTGCGTGTGGCCGTTGAACCACGCGTGCACCTGGTTGGTCTTGGTCACGTTGTACCAGCGCATCATGCGCGGCTCGCCCATGTGAAAGTGCGGCGAGTAGTGCGTGTTGATGATCTTGAAGTCGGCCTTCGAAGCCGCCATGTCGCGCATCGCGCCGTCCATCGAGTCTTGGCCCCACTTTTCAATCGTGTCCATGCAGGCCTTGTACATGCCGACGTCGCCGCCGGCGCAGAGCTGGTCGCCGCCAATCACGTTCTTGCAGGCTGTGTTGGAGTTGGTGACCTTGAACTTCTTGGCGTAGCCAAAGCACTGGCAGCAGACCTGGCTCGCACCGTGCGACTCGGCGTGGTTGGTGTCGAGATTGTAAATCTCGACCGTCACGCCGTCCTTCTCGACACTCTCGACGTAGTAGTGGTCCTTCATGAGCCACCGGTCGCCGTTCGGGCTCTGGTAATTCTGCTGGAGCGAAAACTTGAGGTTGAGGTACTTGAGCATCTGGGCCGTGTCCTTGCACTCAAAGAACGCGTTGTCCTTGTCGCCGCAAATGTACTCCGAGCCGCCAATGTCGTGGTTCCCCGCGACGTTGACCCATTTGATACCGGCGAGCTCCGGCTGGTTGTACACCTTCTCAAACGTCTCCTCCATGCGGTACTTGATGTCGTCCGGGCCAGCGCCGTCCCAATAAATGTTGTCACCGTGACCAATGACGCGCGACGGCTTGGGCTTGAGCGCGCCGGCCGACTTGGCCATGATGTCGGCGACATACAGCTGCGAGAAGTAGTCGACCTTGTAGCGAATTCGCGACGTGTCGATCGTGCTGTCCGCGTACAGCTTGCAGCACGAGCCCGGCGGGCCCTCGCCCTTCTCGGACGTCGACGAGACCTTGCCCGTCGTACTGCCCCAGTCGCCGACAGCGAGCATCGTGATGACGGCCGGGTCGGTCTCTGGGTTGGAGCTTGGCGACGGCGCCGGCGTCGTCGTCGGCGAGTTGGACGCCGGCGGAAGCAAGTCGCTGTCACTCACGTTCTTTTGGGTCGACGCCGGCGCGGGCGTCGCGTTCTTGTCCGTGCCGGCGCCGTCCTTGGCGTCGGTCGTCTTGCCGCCCGAGAGCGTCACGGCGAGCACGACCGCGACCGCGACGGCGACCAGCAGCGAGACGAGGATAATGATCGTCTTCTTCTGCATCTTCCTCGAGAGCAATGAGCGACCAGTGAAATTGGAATCTGACACTGATGGGCCCCGCCCTCTACCTGGACACTCTGGAAAACGAAAAGAGCCATATAGATGCCAAAGTATATCCGATAAGCATCCTTTTGTTTTGATACGCTCTTCCTGATCGATCTTCGCGCGTGGCACGCGAGAGATCCGGTTGTGTGAGAAATCCGGATAAAACGTGACTCACGGCCTGTCTGCCAATCAAAAAGGCGCATTCGCCGATGCATGGATGAGAAATTTCATGTTTGCGGCGGCATGGACCAGCCACCCAGATTGGTGTCGCAACTGTAGTTGCAATATCAATGCGCTTCCTGCATTGCGGAGGCTCTTCCTGCTGCTCTCGTTTGGCGCTACAGTGGCGGAGTGATTTGCCGGTGGTTATCTCGATAGGAATGAGAAGGCGGCCTGCAACCTGGATGTGGGTACACGTTTCGTTCGACACAACCTCACAACTTGTGCCAGCTGGCGAGATTTCTATCAAAAATTTGCACCATTTGATGCCAACTTCAAGCCGCGTTGACGGCCTTCCCACAAGCACGCGGGCGCACTCGAGTGCAAGGAGGCTCAGGGCACATAACCAACGAGTGCATCAAAGTTTCTAACTGGTTAGAGCCTTGCCAGAGCGATGAACAACCTCTTGTGGGACGGGTGCCATGGCGCCGAGCCAACACTTGGGCCGCGACGAGCGATATTACCCGATGTGCCAATTGTACTCTAACGTAAGGATGCTATCACGATGGAGGACTCACGTTGCCCAACTTCCAACCAAAACGCTTTGTCGACCGACGTCGTTCTGCGTGAAACGGCGCTGCCGACTCGAAAGCGAAGTCATCCGAAAGCTCTGCAAAGCCCGTATTCCACGAGCATCGCTGGACCTATGGTGCTATGGGGCTGGCACACTGAGTCTGGATGCGGTGAAATTTTAGGGAACGAATTGTCGTCTTGGGACGACCAAGCAGAATTTCGAATTGCTCGAGTGTCCATGCCGTCTGGACGCGGAAGGAGACTTGCCTGCACGAGATGTATCGCGCTGCACGGATCGCTCTGCTTGCGACAGACATAGACGGCACGAAACTTCACTCCACGATGATGTAAAACCTTGTTTAATGACTAGTGCAATGAGGTAGAATCGAACTCCCGACAGCGCAAATGCCATCGTCTGGCAGGGAACGAGCAATGTTGCGAACGGAAAGGTTGGAATCGGTCGTCCATGCCATTGAATTTTCAAGGCAATTTTTATGGGACGAAATGGATAACTACCGTAATTGCCGTATTCAAGTATCCTAGTGTCCCATCATTGGCCAAGCGACTTTACCCTTACTCTCCGCACCTCTGACAGGCAGCAAGCTCTGTACCAGCAGAACGGCACGAGTCCACTTGCATACGCACTACATGATAGAATTGTCTATAGCCCCACGATATTGGTACAGCAAGGGCCACGACTACGTAGGATCACTTGACGGGAGATGACAACGGACGAAATAAGGTAATTGGCCGGCGGGACAGGCCACTGTAACACCGTCCATACCCATGCACTCTGAATCTCAGTGCAAATCGCGCTGCTGGCCATTTGCCATTCGCCACTGATCGCCGCCTTCATGCAGAAGAAGACGATCCTTATCCTGGCGACGGTGCTCGTCGCCGTCGCTGTCGCCGTCATCCTCGCCGTGACACTCTCGGGTGGCAAGACGACCGACACCAACGACCGCGCCGGCAACGGCCAGAACCCGACGCCGGCGCCTGGCCCGAAGAATGTGACGGCCGACGACCTCCTTGCGACGACGGTACCTGCGTCCAACACGCCGACGCCGGCGCCCACGGCCAACCCCGAGACGGATCCGGCCGTCATCACGATGCTCGCGATTGGTGACTGGGGCAGCACTACCGGCAAGATCTCGTCGACGTCCGAGAAGGGCGAGGGCCCGCCGGGCTCGTGCTGCAAACTCTATGAAGACAGCACTGTCGACACGTCCCGTCTGCGCTACAAGGTTGACTACTTTTCGCAGCTCTATGTCGCCGACATCATGGCCAAGTCGGCCGGCGCGCTCAAGCCAAAGCCGTCGCGCATCCTCGGGCACGGCGACAACATCTACTGGGACGGCGTCGGTCCCGGCGACATTCAGTACCGCATGGAAGAGACGTTTGAGAAGATGTACAACCAGCCGGAGCTCGCCGGTATCAAGTGGGTCAACGTCGCGGGGAACCACGACATTGGCGGCTCCGAGTTTATCTGCGGCGAGAAGGACAATGCGTTCCGCAAGTGCGACGACACGGCCGAGATGCTCAAGTACCTCAACCTCAAGTTTTCGCTCCAGCAGAATTACCAAAGCCCGAACGGGAACCGGTGGCTCATGAAGGACCACTACTACATTGAGACAGTCGAGAAGGACGGCGTGACGGTCGAGATTTACAACCTCGACACCAACCACGCCGAGTCGCACGGCGCCGACCAAGTATGTTGCCAGTGCTTTGGCTACGCGCGGTTGTTTGGCGTCAAAAACTCCAACTCCGAGTGCAAGAACGTCGGGCCCGGTAGCCGTCTCTGCGCCGGCGGCGACCTCGGCATGTACAAGGCCTGTATGGAGACGATTGAAAAGTGGGGCCAAGACTCGATGGACGGCGCCATGCGGGACTTGGCAGCTTCGAAGGCCGACTTCAAGATCATCAACACGCACTACTCGCCGCATTTCCACATGTCGCCCGCGCGCATGATGCGCTGGTACAACGTGACGCAGAAGGCCCACGTGCATGCGTGGTTCAACGGTCACACGCACGGCTTCAACCACGACATTGCCAAGTGGGGGACCCATTTCTTCCAGAACGGCGGCGGCGGGGGTATCGTCACCGAGGCTTCGACGCCCGGCAACAACGAGTTTCTCAACCCGATCTGGGTGGCCGGCGGCAACCCGTACGGCTTTATGGAGCTCAGCTTCTCGAAGGACTGGCTCAAGGTGCAGTTTGCGACCTTTGACAAGGCGTGGAACTTTGGCGGCTTCAACCTCGCGGCGACCAACCGCGGCGGCGTCGCCAAAGGTCACTGCTGGTACATTCCGCGCACGCAGGGCTCGAATGGTGTCAAGTGCAGCGACTCGGTGGATACACCGATCGGCATGCCCATTTAATAAGTCAGACGAGAAGTGTCTACAAGAGAACGACTTTTGCTTCCAGAGTTCTTGTTCGCGGGAAGCGTCTAGTCTAAGGTCCCATCAAAGCCATCATGAATACGAGGGCAGTTCGTTAGCAGGTTGGCGCGTCTTCGCGTGAGACAGCGTTTGCGTACATAGACTTGGAGGCAGCGAGCTCCAAGTCGACGTCAATTCACCTGCATATGAATGATGTGCGTGTACCTGGGTCATGCGGCCAAGGTAGAGACCTCTTGTGATCATGTAGATCACAAGAACGACAACAAGATCCCCGCGCGGGATCAACTGGGCCGCCGAGCCCTGAACGACGCGCTTGCGACGACCTCCGACGCGATGATGGCGATCCCGATCGAGACCCCGACCGCTCGCCGTCGACTGCCTTAGCGGTAGCGCTCACCGCATCCCGCGAGCTCCTCAAGGCAATCGACGACGATTCGTCTTCCGGCAGCCCACAAGATGGCAGACGAGCTCGTGGCGACGGTCCTCGTGGTCCCGCCGGTACATACGCGTTATCCCTCATGAGGTTAATGGCGATCGAGCCGTAGACCTTTGAGGAGCTCAAGGCCGCATTTCGGCGATGCGACGAACGGCTATGCGCTCGAGAGGGATACCCGCGAGGCCCTAGCGAGGTATATTTGCATTTTTTGTACCGTCAGACACGGAGCTAATCGTCTTCCATAGGCTGCTCGCGACGAAGATGGAGCTCGGGCTCAAGCAGCTCGTTGCCGAGCTCAAGATAGTATCATATAGTTTTACCTAATACTCAACAACAGTAGTCACTTTTCGTGCACTCAACTACTTCTTTTGTACCGCTGTCGCCATATCCATCGTCGGTCAACAAGGCTGCGCAGCGTAGCCAGCGCGACAAACGTAGTACATGTAGCCAAGTTCAATCGACTGGAGTCGTGGGTTGCTCTACCCGTTGACCATGATGAGCCTTGGTCGCGATAAGAAGCGCACGTACGCAGGAGGTCATCTCCTGGGGGTCGTCGCCACCTTCTCTCTTGTCCGCGGATGGTCGTCAACGTTCACTCTCCTTGACCGTGCAAATGTCGCTACTGGTTGGGATCGCGGGCCAGCCTTGCAAGAGACCAAGAAGAAGATAACATGTAAGAGATGTTAGTATCGTGATAGTGTATCGTTGCAATAAATACGCGCCTCCTCACGGAGCTCCGAGCGCGCCGTTGACGGACGACTTGCACTCGACGCCGGGAATTAAACCCGACTTGTGGATGTACCAGCAGTGGCCGCGCGCGAGGCCACCGACAGTCGTCGCGCTCGGATCAAAGCCACCAAAGACCCACTTGTTGTCGAACGTCACAAACTGCACCTTCATCCACTGCTTGGAGAAGCTCAGCTCCATAAAGCCATACGGCTGGCCGGCGGCAGCCCATTTCCTAGACACGCGTTCATATCCATAGCGTCCATATCTTTAGGAACGTACGTCGTCACGCCGTAAGCGCTTGTGGCCGTCATGGCCGACTGCGTCGAGATGCCGCCGCCCGCGCCGTTGACGAAAAAGTGCGTGTTCCACGGCGAAATATCGTGGTTGAAGCCGTGCGTATGGCCGTTGATCCACGCGTGGATCTTGTACTTCTTCGTGAGGTCGTGCCACATCTTCATGCGGATCGGGTTCATGTGGTAGTGCGGCGAGTAGTGCGTGTTGACGACCTTAAAGTCGGCCGTTGTCGCCGACAAGTCTTTGACCGCGCCGTCGTAGCTCGTCTTGGCCCACGATTCGATCTTGGCCACGCATTGCTACATCGAAACACCTCAGCGCTCTTGTACGACGCAAGGATAAGAGACGGGGGACGTACGTCGTACATGTCGGTATCGCCGCCGCAGCAAAATTTGTCGCCGCGCGCCACCGTCTTGCACGGGTCAAAGCCCGCGGGCTGGCCCGTGTTGCTCGAGTAGCCGTAGCACTGACAGCACGTCTCGATGGCGCCATGAACATCGGCGTGGTTCGTGTCGAGGTTGAGCACGTCGATCGTGATGCCGTTTTTGGTCACGCGATCAATGTAGTAGTGGTCCGTGAGCTTCCATCGGTCCTGGTTCGGGCTCTTGTACGACTGCTGGAGACCAAACTTGGAGTCGAGGTACGTGAGTAGCTCTTCCGTGCTCGTGCACTTGCGAAAGTTGTCGTCGTCGTCGCCGCAAATGAAGCTGGCACCGCCAATGTCGTGGTTGCCCGCGACGTTGAGCCACGTGATGCCTTGCAGATCTGGCTGGTTGTACATCTCTTCGAACGTCGTCTGGAAGCGGTACGCCACATCGTTCTTCCCGACGCCGTTCCAGTAGATGTTGTCGCCGTTGCTCAGAATCCGCGACGGCTTGGGCTTGAGCGACGCGGCCGACTGCGCCATGAGCGTCGCCACGTTGGCTTGCGCGTAGTAGTCGACCTTGTACCTGGACCATAATGATTCGTGAGGTGCTCAGCAATGATTCCACATACCGAGGCTTGGAGATGTCGACTTTGCCCCAGTTCGAGTCGGCGGTCAAGTAGACGACACAGCACGACCCGGGCTTGCTGCCGTCCGCCTTTTTGCCTACGCTCACCCTATCAGCGTCTTCGACGTGGGCGCTACAAGGACGCACCGGTGGTCGAGCCCCAGTCGCCAATCGACAGCATCGTGGCCAGAATCGGGTCGGTTTCGGGGTCGGACTGCGGCACGTTGAGCGCGCTGCTACCGTTCGTGTTGCCACCGCCGCCGCCTGTACTACCGCCCGACATATCGCTGCCGCTGCCGGTCGTCTGCCCTGACTTGCCGTTCGCCGAGCCGCTTACCGACGACGAGCCTTTGGTCGCCATGACGACAGCGACGGCGACGCCGGCGGCGGCGATCACGCAGACGCCCGCGATCGCCATGAGGATGCGCGGGTTGAAGCGGCGCCGCGGCTCGCCGCCAACGTCGTCCGAGTCGCGAAAGTCCATGATCGGGATCTCGGTCACGCTGTCGGGCGCATCGTACTTGCGCGGATCTACGTTGCAGCGATGAGCGTCGACCTTGCCGCTGCCATGTACTCGTACCCTCGCGTCGGGCCATGGTCAAATCCGTTATAGGCCGATGTGCTGAGGGCCGTCGAGTATTTTATTGAGTTCGGTCTGTTTCTGGATACAAACGCAAGTAACACGGTGTGCATTTATTTTATTATCCACGCTCAGCGTGCCGGACGAAGTGCTTTTACGTCGTAAGTAACTGCGCGGCCGCACCCAAGAGCTCGCGGCGCCGCGGCCTTGATGAACGCCGAGCGTCGCCGCAGCTGCGCAAGGAAGCTGGCGACCATGACGTGGCGGACTGAGGCGGGCATATGACGATACATGGAAAGGACCGAGGGAGCATTCCAGCTGGAACGTCGTCGTCGGGCTTGGGACAGGCGGCTTTATGCAGCGATGATGCGATGCAGAGAGAGCTGCAGAGAGAGACAGGAAGGAAATGATGTGTACATAGAAATCAAGTAATATATAAGTTACGGTGGCGTACTCGGACTCGAGCTGCCACTGCTGCTACAACTGCCCGGCTCGCGACCAAGTGTGAGCTTGCCATCGACCTCGCGATACAGTGTCGCTGTCGCCGGCAAGAGCGCTTTCTCAAGGTGCAGCACTTGGTCGAGGCAGACGCGCACGTCATGGACGCTCCGCAGCGTCATGAGCACATCGAGGACGAGCGGAAGCGCGGTGTCGTTGGCATCGTCGACAAAGCTGGGCAGTGGCACGCCATTCCGAGGCTGCGGCAAGAAGGACATGGGGTTGTTGTCAACCAGCACAATGTGCGCGAGCGACTGGTTGACGTACGGCAAGAGCCGCCGAAGGTCCTTGAGCGCAAGGCCACGCACGTGTGTACAGTCGTTGTGAAAGAACCGGCGCCGGAAGATCGACCTCGTTGGGTCCAGCATATCGACGATCGGGTTGGCGTAGCCTGCTTCCGAGCTCGTAAAGAGGTACACGTCAAATTCCTTGGCCAAGGCCGCCAAGAAGGCGTCGACGCCTGGACGCTTGTGCACCTTGACTGTAATGTCCGGCGTCAGGGCCACGTCGATGGCGTCGACGAACGCTCCGTAGCGCACGTGGGCGTACTGCGTGTGGACGAGGCACTCGTCCAAGTCGAGGACGATTGCGAGCCGCGTCGGCGCTGGCGCTTCGTTGGCCGCTGCCACCGCTGCAAGGCTCGCCGCCGTGCCATAGTCGTAGAGAAGGTACGACGTGACGCTGTACGCGTCGGCGAGGAGCGCTGGGAGGACGCTAGCGTCAGCGGGCGACGGGCCCTTGGGCACGAGCTTGCCGAGCCATCGCACGAGGAATTCCTTCAGCGCAGGCATGCGTGTGAACCGTGAGCTGTGTCGTCACATGGTGCCCATCGCCACTTGGATACGCCTTCTGACTCCATTCGCAGCGCTTTTTCAAAGTTGGGTGGATTTAGGCGTTATAGACACGGCTTCTGGTCGTATCGCTGCATAGTACGCGGCGCTATTGCGTTGTTGGTCGCGACCTGCGCAGTGCTACGCGCACCCAACTTGCAGTTGAATTTTTCACGTGTGGGAAATCGACACTGCGACATGTCAGCCCAAATTCTTCGGAATCGAGTTTCGCACGTTTCTCACTTCTGAGTCGCAACCGCTTCGTGAAGAACCGATTCCAGATGAGCCGGATAACCGGTTAGCCGACTTGCAGGACAGCTCACGAACGGTTTCACGGTTTGCACCCCAGGTTGAATTATTTTCGCGGCAACAGGATGTCCACGCCGTGGCCGCGCCGTGGCGCCGCAGCACCGGCTCCCAGCGCCGATGCGCCAGCTGCCTGGCCACGCCGCAAGAAGGAAGACGCTGCGCCTCCAGCAGCTGCGACAACCAAGCCACCACCGGGAGCGTCCGCGTGGCCTCGGCGGCAGCCCGCCGCATCGGCGCCCGTGCCCGCGACCAAGGCCGCCAAGAAGAAAGCCGTCGAGGACGACGCATGGGTGCTCAAGATGTACGAAAAGCGAAAGGAGCTGAAGAAGAAGCGAAAACTCGAGGCCAAGATGGCCCCGCCACCCGTTCCAGCTGACGACGTCCCGGTCGCTGACCCAGAACACGCCGCCGCTGCGTTGGCGCCGTCCTCACTCGTAGACGACAGCGAGTCTCTGCCTGCGATCCCTCCCAACAGCTTTTATGACGAAGCGCCTGCATTCGACCCGACGCTATTTGAGCCCGTGGCGAAACGCGCCAAAGCGGAAGTCGAGATGCCTGCCACGAAACCCACGCCCCAAGCGGTGGCGTCCGAGCCGCAAGCATCCTCACGCGTTGCAAGCAAAAAGAGGGCACCGAGCGACGACGACGACGTCAGTAGCGACGACGACATCGCTCCCAAGTCTACCAAACCGCGGGCCAAGCCAAAGCCGACGAGTCTTCCTAGTAACGCACCGAGCGAGGAGGACGAGATCGACACGACCGAGTGGCGCAAGCACGCCATCAAGCAGCGACAAGCCGCGGTCGGGAGCCACAGCGTCAGCGACAACTTTGTGCGGCTCACGATGCGGAAAAAGGTCAAGGGCAGTCGCGGCAACCCCAAGAAGCGGCCGCTGTACCTTCGCGCCACGCTCTACGACAAAGCCGAGCACGACGAAGCGCCCGTGAGCAAGGCGACGCACGACGGCGTCGACGTCGTCCAAGAATGCCTCGATGTGCTCGCCAAGCCGCCGCCGCCACCGACCTTTGTGACGCTGGAAGAGGCGGTGTCGACACCGCTCTGCTACCACGGGCTTCCCGCGCACCGCCTCGTCGTCAAGAAGAAGACGGCGAACCACGGCCGCGGCTTCTTTGCGTGCACGCGCAAGCTCGATGAAGGGCGCTGTGACTTTTTTCTCTGGGAACAGAACCATCCGGATGCGATCGCGCATGCGCTCGCGACCCCCGAAGCCGAGCTGCCGCCCATGCCCGAGTTTGCCACGCCCCTTGACGCGCTGCGGGTCCTTTTCGGCCACGCGGACTTCAAGCCTGGCCAGCGCTGGGCGATCGACCGCGTTCTCAACCGGCACGAGAAGGCGTCGCTGTTGATCTTGCCGACCGGCGCCGGCAAGTCGCTCTGCTACCAGCTCCCGTCCATCTTCCTCCCCGGTCTCACGCTCGTCATTTCGCCGCTCATTTCTCTCATCAACGACCAAATGGAGAAGCTGCCGCCGCCGCTTCAAGCACGCGCCGCGAGCTTCTCGTCGGCCAAGTTCAAGGCCGACCAGGCCTCACTCTGCCGTGCGCTCTACGCGGGCCACATCAAACTGCTCTTTGTCTCGCCCGAGCGGGCCGTCACCGCCGGCTTCCACACGCTTCTCTCCAAGCTCTCAATTAGCCTCGTCTGCGTCGACGAAGCGCACTGTCTCTCAGAGTGGTCGCACAACTTTCGACCGTCTTTTCTGCGCTTGGGGCCGCTCGCTGCCAAAGCATCGCAAGTGCTGGCGCTCACCGCGACGGCGTCGACGAGCGTCACGGCCGACATTGCGCGCATCCTGAGCATCAGCGACGACGGCATCCGCCGTGACCGAATCGGCCGTGACAACCTGACGCTGGACGTTGCCGTGACGACAGATGCGTCACGCCTCGACGACCTCCGCGCGCTCTTGACGGCGCCACCGTACAATAAGGGCAGCGTCATCGTCTATGTCCACACGCAGTACGCGGCGGCGATGGTCGCAGGCCACTTGAGTGCCCAAGCTCACATCAAGACGAGCGCGTACCATGCAGGCCTCGAAGCCGATGTCAAAGAAAAGGTGCGTTTCCGAGCACCCCATTTGCGAAAAAAGTGCACTTTCAATGTCGATGTAGGTCCGGGCGACGTTTCTGAGCGGGAAGCTGCGTGTTGTCGTCGCCACGATCGCCTTTGGCATGGGCATCGACAAGCCCAATGTGCGCGGCGTGATCCACTACCACATGCCGAGCAGCATGGAGCACTACGTGCAGCACGTCGGCCGCGCGGGTCGTGACGGCAAGCCCGCCCACTGCACGCTGCTGCTTGTGGCGAGCGACTTCAACCGGTTCCACGCCCTTGCGCACTCGGACGGTCTCTCAGTTAGCCAACTGAGTCGGTTTCTGGACTTGGTCTTTGGCGACGACCGCGGTATCCCGACTCGTCCAGGCTTTTGCGAGCTCACGCTACCGATCAAGTGGCTCGAGATGGAGCTCGACATGAAGGAAGGCGTGCTCGAGACGATCTTGACGATGCTCGAGCTCCAAGGCCACATCAAGCTCCTCCCGTCGCTCCACGCCACGTGCACGCTCACGATTTCGAACTTCGAGCCGTGGAAGTCGCACATCCTGTTCACCCGCGTCGAAGCGCTCGCTGACGCCAGGACCGAGCAAGAAGGGTACCTCACCAAAACCATCTACACGTTCAACGTCGTCGAGCTCACGCAAACATTTCCGCTGCGCGCGAACGACGATATTGTGTTGCTGGAGCTCCGCCGGCTGCAGCAAACCGGCGTTGGACAGTACCAGTTGAGCGACTACGCCGTGCGGCTCGAGCGATCTGCTTCGCGCCTTCCGAACGTAGAGTCGATTGTGCGTGACGTGTACACGCACCACGTCGCGCAAGAGAAGCGCAATGTGATCCGCGTCGAAGCCTTGTACGCCGCACTCTTACGGGCCGCCGAAAGCGATGACGCGACAGCGTCCCTCAACGAGACGATCGAAGCGTACTTTGAAGACCAGGACGACAACGCACCCGTCGCCAAGCCGTGGGCATTTGCCCCGCTGACGCTTGGTCAAATTACCGGGATTCAGCAGGCGACGCACAGCCTGCTGCACCACGACAAGCGCGCCTTCTCGGCGCAGAGCATCACGCGCATCCTCCATGGCATGGCGAGTCCGTGTTTCCCGAGCGACGAGTGGCGCGACCACAATGCATGGTCGCGGTATGCCACATTGCCCTTTTCGCTCGTCAAGAACGTCGTCCATGACGTCGTGACGGCCTTCCGGAAGGACGAGATGACGGCAGCAGCATCGACAGAGCCTTGAAGTGGCTATGTTGCGCGCGAGATCAAGGGTAGCAATGTACGAGTACCACATCACAAAAGAGTGTTTGAGATACACACCGAAAACATCTGCAAACGCCAAGCATCGATATATTGATGGACATATTGTGTACTATAGACGCGCTAAGATGCGAAAGACCTTGCCAGACGTCGGACAGCGTGCGTTGGTCTCGATGCGTTGGCCCACATCGTCGATTATCACCAGCATCTCGCTGTCGCCATGCCAGGCGACATACTCGCGCAGACTGGCTAGCGACAAGTGCGCGCTGCTTAGCGGGGACGTCGCTGATTGCAGTGCGCATCATTGGACTACGCACTTCGTTGACGGTATGACGTCGGGGGCGCTTGGAGCGAAACTAACTCCACGTTCGATCCAGTGGCAGTCGACGCGTCCGGTCGAAACGACGCCGGCCGTTCTGGATCCAACGTAATGCAGGATCGGCCCATGACCCGCAGCTCCTGATAGTTGCTTCGAGATGGTTCTGGCATGCGTGCTCTCTGTCTTGCACCACACCATTCTACCGCTACCAAGACGCCGGCGGATCCAACCCTATCCCTCCACCATCGTTTCTAAACTGTGATATATGTTGCTGCTGGATGCCCGACAACTCCCACACTTCCACACACCAGAGCGACTGCCCAGAGCGACAAGGCGGCAACGTCTTCTGGAACTGTGCAAATGGGTTTCTCCAACATGGTTTTTACAATTTGACGCCTTTACACGCAAAAA